AGACCGTCCCCCAGAGTTTTCTGCCATCTGCCGTGTCTCCCAGGGCCACCAGAACCTGACCAGAGAGGAGCTAGGGCTAGGAAGGCAGGCAGGGAGGGCGGTCAGCCACGATTTTCTGCTCTCAGTAAGCTGCCCTGTGCAGAGGCTCTCCGTCTGTTTATATAATCTGCACGGGGCTTACTCGTCAAATTCTAAGTCTTCGAAAAGAAACATTCAAAGCTGTGAGTTGAGTTCCCTTAGGCATTTCCCGTTTCAGGTAAGAGGTAAGAGGAGGCTGGGCCTGGAGCCAGGGCCCCCTGAGCCAGAGCCCCGCTGCCCGTTGCCAGTCTGCTACGTACACTGCCTTGTGCTGCTGAAGGTGGCATCCAGACGTCTAATTACCGGGACCAGCAGTTGGCGTAATGGCTGTGTCACTGGACTCCCGTGTAGTTGACCACATTCGAGTCCCGGACCTGGTGGCTTAAACTCACACCGGGTGTGTGTGCGTGCGTGCCCGAGATCCCGAGAGGAAAACGGAGGAGAAGGGATTGCGGCGTGGCCATCCCCGCCGGGGGGCGATTTCTCTCTTTCTGTCTCTCCGTCTCTGTTTTTCTGGCGAACACAGGCGCCCTCTAACAAAAACCTCTCCAAAAAAATTATTTTCTAATTAACAAAACCAGTAATCGCTGGGCACCGTGTCTTGTTCTGGTTCACTCTTCTGGGAGGCACAGTGCTTTGGGGGGGCGAGCATGGGGCTCGGAACCAGGAGACCGTGTAGCTCGGAGAGGTTTCCCTGGTGTCATTTCCCACCAGCCTCCCCTCGGACTGGGTGAGTTTCTCCTGGTGCTGCCCGGAGCGTGTGTGCTGCCAGTCTGCACGCGGCGGGAGAGGCGGCCCGGACCCAGATCGCTTCTTTCTTGCTGTAGGTACTTTAATTACCGGACGACTCGGTTCCTGGCCGAGGAGGGCTTTTATAAATTCCATAACTGGTTTGATGACCGTGCCTGGTACCCTTTGGGACGAATCATTGGAGGAACAATCTACCCAGGTGAGGGGGCAGGATGTTTTTTCCCTCAGGAACAGAAGGAACAGAATCGCTGCTGATTCTTCGCTTTGGACGCCTGTAATTTCACTTGGCTGAGGTTCCCACAGTGGATTCTAGTGGACAGGAGAGCATGTGTGGGCTTGGGACGGGCAGTGTTTCACGCTGGACCTGGGGTTTCTTTAAAAGCAGAATCTTGCTCTGTCAGAGCCCTCCAGCCTTGGCTCTCCGAGGGGCTGGGACTGCGTGCCCCGTGTGTAGGGTGGGCCTGGGGTCAGCCTCCACCTCCGGCGTGGCGGCGTGGCGGCGTGGCGGCTTCTGGCCGGCCCTCCGCAGTGTCCCCAGTCCGTGGCAGACCCTGTGCTGGTGCTTGTGGTGTCTGGCGAGACCCGTGTGATCAGGCAGCTGAACCGGCTTGGGCCCGACCCCCTCCCTGGGATGCAGAGTCCCTCCAGGACGTCTGACCGGCTGCCCTTCCCGTGCAGGCCTGATGGTCACCTCCGCTGTCATCTACCACGTGCTGCATTTCTTCCACATCACCATCGACATCCGGAACGTCTGTGTGTTCCTGGCCCCACTCTTCTCCTCCTTCACCACCATCGTCACGTACCACCTGACCAAAGAGCTCAAGGTGAAGGGTTTGGGCCACAGGAGGTTTGGAGTCTCGCGGATGCTGGAGGGGGGGCACCGAGGGGCATGGGCAGAAAGGGCTGCCCTCACTGGGCTCGCTGCCAGGCCTCTGGAGCCATTGGCCGCTGTGTCCTTGGGGAGGCACGCTCGGGG